ACACTGGGGTCGCATCCTATGATCCTAGTATCTATATCACACCCTCCTACTTGCCTAAGCCGAAAGTTTTCCTCCCTGATTGCACCGATTTGTGCATGATGGACGTCTCTATAACCCAACCCAAGCCAGTGATGGTGACCATCGAGAACAGGGAAGAGGTTGTCAAACCAGAGTCTGTAGAGCCTGAGAATGATGCTGGGAATGCTTACAGTCCGAGTGACTACATTTCACCAGTGGGCCAGAATAGACCAAATGTCGAATTTCCAGTAGGGGGAGAGCTGTGTGTAATCCGAGGGAACAGTCCAAGACAGGAAACGGATGATTTGGCAGCCATGGAAGAGGATTTTGCCAAGTTCCAATTTTGCGATAACCGAGATCTAGAATATTCAGCCGTCAACTGGTACGATAATGAAGAATCAGCGGAGGCCACGGGATGGCTAGACGATCAGCCAGATGTAATAGGGGAGTTTCAGTCAGAACAAGGCCCGGCAGGGGCGGGAATGTCCATAACGGCCGGGGGTGTCGAAGAACAGAATACATCGCCGGAGAGCGCCGGTGTCGAGAGTTTCGCTCGGGAATGGAGCATTTTGAGTACAGGGATCAGTGAGCAATCTACTGCATTGACACAGTCAGAACCGGAGAGATTCAAAGATTCTGAGAGGATCAGGAAAGCAAAAGGCCACGTGGGGGTCGAAACTGCCACAAGTATGGAAATGGAGAATGCTGCGAGCAAAGGGATAAAAGGTACTGCAAGTATCAGGACAGTTATGCCAGAACCAGACAGATGCCTGTCAGCTGCAGATGGTATGTGGTGGGAAGACGACGATTTGTGTCTTGCCCACACGGACGAGGAATGGGAAGGTAACCAACCAGATGATACTTGGTATATCGGCGAAGTCGATCACATGACGAGGAGTGGACGGTATTTTAAGCCTCCACACCTAGATCAACCAGAGGCGTCTGGAAAAGATAATGAAGTAGAGAAACAAAAGGAGAAGCAACTCAAAGACGAGGCCGTGTTGAGACAATTAAAAAAGATACAAGCAGACATCTCTATCTGGGGACTGCTTCTGGCTTCTCGAGTACACAGGCAGGCTGTCCTTACAGCCATGGACAAAGCCAAGCTTTCCATAGATACCACGCCCGAGCAGCTGGTGGGCTTAGTCTTTTCAGGAGGAAGTTCCCCGATATTGAGTTTTTCTGACAAAGAACTGCCACCTGAGGGTGCGAACCATAACAAGCCACTCTACATCTCTGTCGAGTGCAGAGATAAATGGATACCCGTGGTGCTTGTCGACACGGGGTCCGCCATCAACGTCTTCCTGGCAAGGACAGCTTATGCGATTGGTTTGAAAGTCGCGGATTTTGTGCCAACGGCCCAAGTGATTCGGGCGTATGACAACACAAGCCGGGAAGTAATGGGGACAGTTAAGATTCAAACAAAGGTTGGGCCGGGACAGCACGAGATAGATTTCCACGTCTTGGAGGTTCCTGCAACGTTCAACCTGCTTTTGGGGCGGCCGTGGCTACATCAGGTGAAGGCGGTCTCCTCTACCCTACATCAAGTGGTGAAATACCCCTATGGGAAGGGAGTAGCCATTTTTTTTGGAAACTCGTCGATTCATCCGCCACCGGAAGTGTCTACACCTGTTCTAGAAATTGAACACGGTGTGGAAGATGTGTTAATATCGGGTTTTACCTTGGCCGAGGCTCGGGTTGTACAGAACATCATGGCAGCTAATGAAGGGGTATATGTCAGTGCCCAAGCAGTCTATCTCATGAACAAACTCCAGCACATCCCCGGGATGGGATTGGGCAAGAGTGGCAGGAAAGGTGCCGCAGCATCGACCAAAGTGCCACATAACCCCCATACCTTTGGTTTGGGCTACTTACCCACCAAAGAGGATTGGATAAGGAAAGGAAAGGAAATGGCCGGAAGGGCCAGGGCAAAACAGATGGGGAAACCCTTTGACTTAATGCACCAGCCCATTCGGGGTACCCTAAACGGACGCTTCGTCCGGGAGGGGGAGGACTTTCCGTTCTGTGGTTTCCCGGAGCCGTGGCTCAACGCGGAGAAGAAGCGCGTGCCGCGATTTGAGATTTTCTTTGATTTGCAGTTACCTGAGGATGATATCGCCGAAGGGCAGGCAGAACTATCGGCTGAGGTTGAGCAAAGTAAGGAAGTACAGTCTGAGGACGCTGAAAATGAAATGGGGGCAGCGCTGGCGTGTCTGCTTTCAGATCCTCCGATCGAACAGAGGTGCTTGGGGGATAGCTCCTCGGTATGTGTGATTGGGAATGAAGCGGCTGCGAGCCTACCATCAGCTATTTTGGATGCGTCCATCGCACCTTCTCTCATCTGGCAATATGAAGAAGGCTTTTTATCTAGCAGCACTGGGTCAGGTAGTGAGCCGGAATCTGATTCAACCGAATCTT